GGGAGTGTAAACACAAACAACCTCAAAAAGAAGCCAAGAAAAGCGAAGCCAAAAGAAGCAAGCGCAACACTGTTACAAAACTGTCTGGTTTTGTAACAATTTCTCTGCCGCCGGCCAATGAACAGCGTGGCGGTGCGTCACGTGGTGCCGCTTTATATAACACTTTGCTGAAACAAGACAGTTATTAGGCGGCGCGGGGCTGCCGGCATGGAGCTCGGAGCGGCACGGCAGGGACTGGCGTGCAGCGGTGCGGCCGCGGTGGCAGCCCCGATTCCCTCCAGTCGCCGCTCCCTGCTCCGGGTTCTCGGCCCCTAGATGCCTCTTCCCGCGCGTTCCTCTATCTATGGATTCATTGCAGACTGGACAGATGCTGAGCTTGTCCGCTGAGCTCGGTAGCAACAACTTAGATCTGGCGGAGCCGGCTGCATCAGTGGCCCGTGTAGATACGGGCCCCCATCCAGAAGCGGCGACCGAAGGCCCCGCACCTGTACCAACGCGGGAGCCAGAGCTGGAGCAGCCTCCAAGGGCTTCGACGCCAGAGTGCAAAGTCCTGCTCTCGCAGGCCGACGCCCTAGCGTCTGGGGTGCGCCTCCGGGAAGCCTTCGAGGTGTACAGACAACTGTCAGAGCGGCAGCAGCTGGTGGCTGAGCAGCTGGAGCAGCTGGTGCGCTGCTTGGCTGAGAACGTCCCACAAGGCGAGGCTCCGGCGCCGGCGCCGGCGCCGGCGGACGGGAGCAGCACGGCGAGCTGCGCGCTTGTGGAGGAAGAGGCAGGGGTGGCAACGGCCGCTGAGGCCACCGAGGTGTGGGACGGCTTCAAGTGCCGGAAGTGCCATGGATTTCTTTCAGACCCCGTGTCCTTGTCCTGCGGCCACACCTTTTGTAAACTGTGCCTGGAACGCGGGCGGGCAGCCGACCGGCGCTGTGCGCTGTGTGGGGTCAAACTTTCTGCGTTGATGGTGGCCACTGGACGGGCGCGCGGGACCTGGCGAGCTGGGCAGCAGGCGCCGCCGCCGCTGCGGGTCAACGTGGTGCTCAGCGGTCTCCTCGGCAAGTTGTTCCCGGGTCCGGCACGGGCGTCGCAGCTCCGGCACGAGGGCAACCGGCTGTACCGCGAGCGCCAGGTGGAGGCGGCGCTGCTCAAGTACAACGAGGCAGTTAGGCTAGGTGAGCCCACCGCGCCGCCAGGCGATGAACCCGCAGGGAGGTGGGGAATGATCACGCGCAAGGGAGCGTGGGACCGACCGGACTGGAGTGGGGGAGGGGTTTCTGAAGTTCGATCTCTGATTTTGTCTCTGTTCCTACCAATTTCTCTGTCTCTGTCTCTGCCTTTCTGTATCTGTTGTTCTTTGTCTTTTCTGTCTCCTGTTACCTTCTGTATTTCTGCGTGTCTGTTCTTGTTTGTGGCACTCTGTTTCTCTGTCTTTTTCAGTCTTTCGCACATTTGTCACTCCGTTTCTTGCTCTGTGTCATCGTCTGTTTCCCTGCCTCCCCTCCTACCTCTGCTCTTACACCTGCCCGCACCTCCCCTGCGGGGAGAGGAACTTCGCACCCTTCCAACTCTCGCGCGGGCTCCGCTAGGCTCCCGCCAGCCGAGGTGTTCTCTAGGCGCCTGCTTCTGCCGTCCCGCCGGGCCCGGGCCTCCGTTGCGGCCGGGAGGTGTCCCTTCCCAGGCCGCGGCTCCGCGTAGGGTGGGTCCGGAGTGGAATTAGGTCAGGAGAGCACTGGTTGCATAAGGGCCACGAGCGGCCCGGGCCGGGTGGCCCCTCCTTCGCGCGGGCGGGCTGGATTGTGTAACGGCTGAGGTAACCGAAGTGGGCCACGCTCGCCTCGGAAACCATCCTGCGAGCCTGAAGAGGGGGGAGCGCTCGCGCCCCGCTGCCCTGTGACTCATTGTCACCGCTTCCTATCACACGATCCTCGGCTGAAATAGATGTCTCCCTCCGCCCGCCCGCAGCCTTCGCCCTTGCCTCGAACCCCTACCCGGCCAGTCCTGAGGACGACCAGCCCTGCAACTGCTCAGGGATCCCGGGGGCTGTGGGCTGCCTGCAAAGGTGACATGCTTCTGTCCCGCTTTCCCGAGTTACCTGGGGACAGATGGGTGGGCTTTGCAGGTTCAAGGGCAACGTGGGCAGCCCCACCCCTGCAGCCAGACTAGGACACCCGAGTTACCCCAGGGAGAGGTTCCCCTGACACCCTCGCCCCTGACATCTGGCCCCAGGAAGTTGCCGCTGAGCCGCTGGCCGGTATTGCCCAGCTCCAGTCAGCTGCCAGAAACTCACCTGGCTGGTGGGGAGCGGTGATTGGCGAAGCGTGCCAGGATGGAGGCAGCAGGGCTGTGCAGACAGGGGTCTGGGATCCGAAGGTGCCCTGAGCCCGACTCTGACGGGTAGAGGAGGGGTGGGATGGAGTCTCCACTTGTTGAATCTCCACCCAAGCGGACAACAAGTAATGGGGGAGGAGGAGGAGGAACGAGGGCTGACTGGTCAAGACTGGCACCTGATGGAGAAGGGGACTCCCCCTCCCCCTCAAAAACACACTGCTCATGTAAGGCACATTGTGAGTTACCACTGGGCTGGCATATGCTGCAGAAAAGAAGGGACAGAGAACACTGTAAACACTTTGCTATTGTCCTTAGAGCAAGTAATGGGCACCCAAGCAAGCCCTGGACATACCCCTGGGGGAAAACAACAACAAAGCCTGTTCCTGCAGCAGAAGCTGGAGCCAGGTTACCGGGGAAGAGCAGGGCAATATGAAGGAGACAGGTAGAGGCCACTTAAGCCTATCTTAGAAGGGCCAGGAAAGCCCCTTCCCATCCTCCTCTTCGCCCCTTGTGGCCGCCACCACTTTTCCCTGTTTTTTTTTTTTTTCTTGCATCATCAGAGCAGTAAGGGTGAAAATGTCAAGACCACTTGAGCCTTCTAAGAGGAAAGGGGCCTCCCCAGCAAAGAGTTTCTTTGTGCTGGAAGACAGCCTATCTCTCCAACTCATTATTCGAAGTCCCCTGCCTTTCAGGAAAAAGGAACCTGTCTCCCACCCCAGATTCAAAGTTTGACCAGTTAGCAATGAATCTGACCAGATAGCTGTGTGACTTTCAACAGGTGTGTTCCCCTCTCTGGGCTTGATTTCCTTCATTTGAAGAATGGGTTGGTTTGAGCCAGATGATTTCTAAAGGCCTGTCCAGCCTTGGCATCTACTGATTTAGAGAGTTGGTGAGAGCCACCCTCACTTTATTGTCAGAAGCCTCGCCTCGTCTGGGTTCATTCACATTTGGCAATCTGTAATGAGAAGATGGAGCCATGCATATGCATTTTCATTTTCTTCAGAGAAACTTTATATGTACTGGGTTTTGTAGACAGAGGTGTTGCTAATGGCACCAGAAGATTAATTTGAACTTGTCTTCCTGGTGGCCAGGATGAGGGTCACATCTGGCCACCTTCCTCACCCCTTCTGGGCCTGTTTCCTTGTGGGTGATACCTCACTCAGAAGCCAGGCTGGCACTTGCTAGTCATGTATAGCCACAAAGCAGGGTGCTAGGGTTTTCTCTATGTCAAAGTCACTGATGCACCACTGGCACCACAGGCTCTCCAAGGAACTTCTTGAGAGAGGGGCAAAAACTATTTCTTTATAGCTAAGGAAGCTCAGACCGAAGGTGACTGGGGATGTGGTTGGTGGGGCAGTATTAGGGCTAGAAATTAAGCCCTAATCCTTTGGGTCTGCAGTAGAAAAATCTTAATAACTTACCATCCTCATATAGTACTTATCACATGTTTGTTGCTGGGGGCCATTAATGAGGGCTTTTTTTCTCTCATTTTGGCAGCTCCAAATGACCACTTGCTTTATAGCAACCGGTCTCAAATTTATTTCACCTTGGAGTCTCATGAAGATGCACTGCATGATGCAGAAATAGCATGTAAGCTCCGCCCAATGGGTTTTAAGGTGAGTGTGGGATGGGAGGGATGGGAAAGGATTGTACTGTAGATAGAAATTGTCAGGAAGAGCTGCCATCCTGGGGGACAGGGGCACTAGAGCTCAAATAGAGCCAGGAGAAGGCTTTGCAAGGTAGCTGGGGATAGCTTGACAAAAAGTGACTCAGGTTGGAACTGGATTCTTCCCCAATTTGATCTGCAGAGTAGTTTGGGCTTTGTGACTCCAGAACATGGACTTGGGAGCCCAACTGCCTGAGTTTATGTCCCAGCTCTGCTATTTTTACAAGCTGTGTGACCTTGGGCAAATTATTTGACCTCCCTGTGCCTCATCTCCTCATCTATAAAATGGTGATATTTAAAACACCTACTTAACAGGGTTCGTTGGGGATTACATGAGCTAATCCATGTAAGATGCTTAGAACAGTGCCTGGCACGTAGCATCACGTAAGTGTTTGCTGTCATCATCACCATTATTTTCCAGGGACAGTAGAAAGAGGAAGGTAATAGAAATATCGCTGGCTGGTTGTTCCATTTGGAGTCCTTAATATAGTCGGTCAGCCTGCTAGTATCCACAAAAATTCAGATCACATGGAGGGTAGGGAGAAATACAGACTAAGCATCTCTCAGGATGCTAGAAGGCAAAGTGTCACTTTCTGCATCTCTTCCTGGCCTCAGGACTGGCCCTCAGCCACACACATGTCAATATTTGGTTTAGAAGATTAGATTTGAGCCAGGGACTACTTGCCAGCTAAGTAACCATGGGGAAGTTGCTTTACTCTCTGGACCCCAAGTGTCCTTGTTTGCAAAATGAAGCTATTGCTATCTGCCCCGATTGCCTCATAGGGATGCAGTGAGGGTCACAGGTGAGCATGGCCAAGGGGCCATTCCGTGAGCTATAAGACATACTGGATTTGATGTAGTGCTCTCTCTACACAATGCCAGGATACACAATGCCTGGATTTGATGTAGTGCTCTCTCTACACAATGCCTTGGAAACTCAACTTATCCAAGTCCAGGTCCATAATCCCTTATCTGAATCCCACGGGGTCAGATGTGTTCAGAATTTAGAATGTTTCCTATTTCAAAAAGACCTTATATGAAGTAACACCCTCAGCAAACTCTGAACAATACCCCATAATCAAACACACTAGTATTTCAGTAGCGTATTACATGAAAATTTACAGTAAGTTGGATAAAGAATATAGCACACTTTATATCATTTTAGGATAGATTTTTCCACCTCATGACTTTTGATGTCAAGCTTATAAAAATATTGGATTATCAGACTTTTTTAGATCTGGGACCTTTAGATAAAAAACATTATGAATCTGCATACTGGGCAATTAGTATTGGAGTAAATCTCATATGTTCTTTCATGAGAAGGTTTTCATGGGTGATTATGGATTAGTATGTTCTCTTTCCCAAAGAACACATTTACAGTTTACTAAAAGTCACCAATGTCTTAACCCAAAAGAGCTTCAGTGGGAGCATTTCAGGCCTTGTAGCAGTGCAGGTCAGGGAGCTGCTTTGAGGGGTAGGAGGACTTCTCCTGCAACCTTTTCTGCTCCCGCCCTAAACCTAAGGCCTAAGGGTGGAGACCTCGATAGTGCAGTAGGAAGCAGGGCTAAGGGAGTAGTAGACCCTTTTGGATGAAATAGGAAAAGTGACTTCCCAGTGAAGGAAGAGTTGATGGTAGTATTAAATATCAGTTTCACTATCCCAAAGGTAAGTGGAGAGGTAGTGATGAGAGAACTCTATTGTCTCAGAGGTTGAGAAGACATTGAACTGATGCATATAATTCAAAACTACTTCACACTCCAATTTGCATATTTCCTACCATTTCTATGTTAAATGCTCCTGTGGGAGTGGTTTACCTTTTGCAGTCCTATTCTAGCCAACCAGCCAGGGTTCAGTGGGGTTCTCAAAATATCCTGCGGGTGATACAGCTCTCACTGGGGTAAGCTGGCTGCCCTGAGCAGGTGGAGTATGTGGGTTGCTGCTTGCTAGGATTGGTGGGATCCCAGAGGCCTCTCCAGTCTCCCAACACTTATCCTCCCTAGCCGCCCTGAAATGTCGCACAAATCTTTCTCCAGAGGGCCCTTGATAAACACTTGTGGGAGGAGCAATAAGCCATCAGCATCCACTAGCAGCCAGAGATTAGGCTCCAGGAGGAGGGTGGAGGACATGAGGAGAGGTCCCGAAAGGGTTTGGAGCAGGGGACACTGCTCAAGAAAACAGATTCCAGTGGATCCCTGTAGCCAGGTAGGAGCCTGAGGCACTGGGCCTGTAGCATGTTAGAAGGGAAGGCAGGGGAGTACTCAGCAGCCACAACCTGGATCATTTCCTTCACTAAGTTGAACTCAGGATCAGCTGTGGAGGCAAGGGAGTGGAGAGCAGGCCCTGAGGGGCAGCCTAGATGACTCAAGAGGAATGCCCTCCAAGCCAGGTTGCAAGGGCCACCTGTCCCAAGGCATAGAGAGAGGGCGGCCCTCTTCCCACCTCTTTTCATCTTTCTTCCTCTTCCTCAGGATGCTCCTCTGCTATCCCTAGAGATTCTCTCCCTGGGCAGTTGGGCTTGGATCCTGAGGAGCCCTAAAACTTCTTTATTCTTAAAGGCATGGCGAAGGAGTAGAAGTGAGCTGAGACCACAGGAGTGAAAGCATTTGCTCAGCCCCTGCTTCGTCCTCAAAAGAGTACTGTCTTCTTTGTGGAGAAGGGTTTTCACCATTATGATGTTAGTTGTGAGTTTTTCATAGATGTCTTTTGTCAAGTTGAGAAGGTTTCCTTCTATTCTGTTGAGTGTTTTTTTATCATGAAAGGGTGCTGGATTTTGTCAAATGCTTTTTTGCATCTATTGAAATAGATCATATGATTTTTATCCTTCACTTTGTTTACGGGGTATATCATGTTAATTAATTTGCAGATATTGAACCAACCTTGCATCACAGGAAGTTTCATTTTTATTTTTTTTTTTATTTAATTACTATGATCACAATTGTAGTTTTAGCTTTGCCTTTGAGGTCTGGAGAGGTCACATCCCTTATCTTGGGCCTCTTCTGAAAAATGATCAGTAAGTACAGATGGTCACTCAAGCCAGTAATGTGGACTAGGCCTCTGTTTGACAGACTAGTTAATAGGAGGGCATATCTGAGCAAGTCCTGGAAGCTGGTTAGTATGTGCTCAACTCAGGGTTCTTGTTACCTGGTGGTCCCTCTAATACAGCAGTGGGACAGGTTGAGGAGAGGTAGTACTTCCCTGTAGTTAAGAATTTGGACTTTGGTGTCAGTCAGTCCCAGGCTCAAACCCTGATTCCAGAATTTACCAGCTGTTACTTTAAGCAAGTCACTTTTCTGGGTCTCAGTTTTGTCTTCTTTAAAATGGGCTTTGGAATAGTTAATTACATTACAGGGCTGTAGATGGGAAGAAGGCGAATAAGAATGGGATTCAATGCTAATGTTTTCTTCCAGGCACACTTCAGAAAAGCACAAGCCTTAGCCACCCTAGGCAAGGTGGAGGAAGCACTAAGAGAGTTTCTATATTGTGTGTCCCTGGATGGAAAGAACAAAAGAGCAAGATCTGAAGCCCAAAGGGTGAGTTGAGATGACATGAGGTCCAGCTGCCCAATGGGCTCCCACCTCTCTGTCTTCTTCAGGGAGGGGAATAAGGGAACTGTCCTCCCTGGCATCTGGGTTCTTGAGTGAGTGGCTCCCTGGGCTAAGGGAACCAGAGGGAGACACAAGTACCAATTGATTTCCCCCAAACACTGTCTTCTTGGCATGTACAATCAATCGACAGTTCCTGCATTTCTGTAGGAGCCTGTGAGGAACATTCTTGTTCCTTTCTCTGGGTCATCAGTGCTACAAAAACAAAACAAAACAAAACAAAATAAAGCTAAACAAGTTAACATTGAGATGGGGACTCACTGAGGAGATTCTGGCTGTTGATGAGAGGTCAGTGATGTGGAGCTCCCTACAGTTATAGAACTTTTCTTTGACTGAGTCAGTTTCATCAGCCACACTGTGAAGCCAGCTACTCAGAACGGATGGATGCTGGTTCCCATCTCCTCTGCCATATGCAGAACTCCAACCTTTAGCTCCTTTGCTATAAATAAAACATACACTGTCTCACAAATGTAAGTCAAGGACCATTACAATATAATCGAAATAGTCATTCCAGTTCTTGAATCCCAGAAGAATGTCGTTATTTTAAAAAGTTGCTTGAAACACTGGAAGCATTAATGAAGGCTCAAGCATCCTCACTTCACAGACTTTGTTGCTTACTCTTCTGCAGTGTACTCTCAGGGTATCTGGCTAACTGGCCTGAAGTTGGGGTGGCCTCTGCTCTCCTTGTGCCCCACCTCCAAGTCACCACTACACCTCAAGTGCTTCTGTCCCTGCGTGGTTTAGCAGAGAAGCAGATGAAGAAAGGGAGCAAGAGTCAGGACTGATTTCTGAAGGCTCCAGAAAGGAATCTTTAGCAAAATCAATGAACTAAAGGAAGTGGAACTCTGGAGATTCTGCCTTTGACAAAAGATTTCTTTTCTGGGAAATTGCTTTGACCTGGTTTGGGAATGTAGACAAAGCGTTCTTGAGAGGAGCAATGGTGGTAGAGAAGTGTTCCCAGCTGTGGACCCTTCCCCAAATCTTAAGTGTAGTTCATGGGATGAATAATAATAATAGCTAATATTTATTGAGCATTTCCTATGTACCAGGAACTATGCTAGGGCTCTCTGTGGAAGATATAATTTAATCCCCACAACATCCCTATGGGATAAGTACTGCTATTTTATCCCCGTGTTACAGATGAGATGGACAAGGAAGCTGAGAGTTAGTGATTTCCCCAATGTCCCACAGCTAGTAATTGGTAGAAGAGCATTCAAACCCAACTCCATCTGCTTCCAGAGTCTGCCTTCCTAGCTGCTCCATCCTGCTGTCCAGGGAGGACAAGCCAGGAGTCTCAGCACTCACTGCTGGGGTTGGGTGGAGAGTAGCAACGGGACCATCCAGTTCTGGGGTGGATGGAGAAGGGAGATTAGAAGAACCTTGACTTTGGGAACAGAAAGTGCAAAGGCCAGCAGAGGCAGGTGTTGGGTCCAGCAGTAAATGGATACTTTATTCCCATTTGCCCATTTTCCAGGTGGCCTGAGAGGCTCTGGTATCATCATTTGGGTGGACCTCTCTTTCCAGCCACTCTTATAGACCATCTAGTGTCATTTCCACACCTACCTAACTGGACAGGGCAAGGCATTAAGCTAAGCTCTGGAAATCCAAAGAGGCATAAGCCACAGTCTCAGTCCTTCCGGACCTTACAATCCTGCATGTGTTATTCAATGCAATATAAATGCCAGACAGTACAAGCGAGCATATGCCTATAATGAGTGTTCTGGAGTTTTGAAGCTGGGACAAGACTTTACAGGCAAATTTCCACTGAGTGTGATGAGGGCATGGCAGCCATTGAAGGGCCCTCAGCAGTGCTTATTTATTGGATTGTTCCATTTTCAGAGCTAAAGATTTGACAGAGACAGTCCAGGTTCACTTGGCATTAATTAGCTACCTTAGACACTTACAGACCTCAGATTCTTTTTTCCCCCCTTCTTGACCCATTTAGACCTTTCTAAGGATAACCCAAAGTGGAATTGGCTTTCATTCATGTGAAATGATTATTGTCACTGAAAATTGACCCCAACTTTTGTTTTCCAAAGCCATTAGGAAAGCCTAGAATGAGATCGTAGGTAGTAAAGGGAAGAAGTAAAGTACTGCTGTTGTTTCTGCCTCCCTTTCCCTTCCATATGTTCTGCCCTTTTATCCTTTTACCTTAGGATGTTGTGTGGCTGCTACTGAAGAGCATCTTCTCTTTTTGGGAGAATTTCAGGGAGACTGCTTCAGAAGTGGGTTGGTCCTGTTGGACCATGCAGGAGGTCTTCTGAGAGCCAATTTTGGCCCCTGTGGAGAAGGCGCCTCTGAAAGCTGGCATTTATGGTTCTGGGCACTATGAGTGCTTCCCACCTCACTCCTTTACCAACTTAGACCTGGGAGATGGGTTTCCCAGAGCTGGAAGGAAAGATAAGGATCTGTCTGAGGACTTTGGGCCTGAACCCTAGGCCTCTCACAGGACCCTGGAATGGATAAGTGTCTTAATTTAATTCTGTCCAGTGCGATGAGTATCTATTGGACATCTGTTATGTGGCCTCCAGAAGCTGGTCATCTGGTCAATGAGAAAGACATCTGTGACACAATTTGAGGCTAACACAAGACTGTGTAGTGTAAGGTGCTATATTATGGTGTAGTAGAGAAGATGAAAGGACAGGTGAGATAGAGAGGCTGAGGTAGTAGGGGAAGGCAGTACTAAAGCTGAGCCTTGAAGGCTGAGCAGGGTTTGGCTATGTAGCAAGTGCTGGCATCTGAAGGAACATCATGAAGGAACTGCTGAGGTCCAGCAAGGGAACAAATCAAACTGGAGAGAGTTTGGTTAGAGTTTCTGTCAGATTCTCTTGATCAATTAGTACCCTGACTATGTACCCTGAGCAAGGGGGCGGAGCACCCTTCAGTAGGTCTCCAAATACGATGGGGCCACATGGTGGCCTTGAATATGCTTAAGAAGCCAGTGACCTGTCCTACTGTGTTACATGTTACATACAATATATACATATGTGTATTCATAATCTCTGCTGGCACAGAATGTGGGTAGCTCATAGTATAGCCTGCACTAGAATACACATCTTTGACTCCCAGTCGTTTCTAGATCTCACTCAACCAGCTTATCCAATTGCAAGGGAACCAGCCATACACTGGAACCTGCCTGCCCCAGTACTAGTACTTGAAGTTACCTGACATTTTCTGGAAAACAAGGGTCAGAACTGGGGAAGAGAAGCTGGGAAAAGAGGGAAGGAGATTGGCTTCTGCTTTTTCTAGCACTTCACTGAGGAAGGGATTAAAGATCCAGGGATGATGGTTGGGGGAGGAGGGAGCAAAATGGACAGTCAGAAGAAAGAAATACTGAGGAACCTAGAAGACAATTATAGACTTCTACCCACTGGAGTGTTGTGGACATGACTCTAGGTCCCCCAGATGATATTTGTCCCTCGTCCTCTTCATCTTTTTCCTCATAGATAGGTTTTTAAATCCTACTGTGATATTTCTATAGAATAGTAGCACCAGAATAGGAGTTCTTAACTTTGGCTATGGTGACAGAGGCATCTGTGGCACCTTTTCAGAATGCAGATTCCTGAGCCACACTCCAGACCTGGGGAGCCAGGTGTGGGAACTTAGAACCTGGAGTTTTCATAAGCTCCCAGGTGATTGTATACACCCTGAAGTGAGGCCTCCTATCATAGTCTGTCAGGGTCTCTCTGGTCTAAGGCTTCCTCCTTGGAGTTTTGCCCTGCAAGCTCTGCCCTCTGCCCCTATCTACTCCTCCCCATGCAACTGAGCATCTGTTGAAACTTAAGTAGTGAAGTCTTCTGTTTTATGTCACAGCTTCTCTTTAGTTTATTTTCACCATCAGTCCCAGGGGATTCTCAGGAACATTCTCCGGATATCCTGAAGCTGTTGGCACCTCACCTTAGATTAAAGGAACACGTAAAGTCAATGGCTACTGAAGGCACCAGCCATAATCTATCAAAGTTGTCACAGGTAAAACTCAACCCACCCAGCTTGTTCGTGACTTCGTGATGCTTCGTTTGGCTGTTTTGTGGGCAAACTTGGGGAGTGAGCCCTACCTCTTCTGCTTCAGTTCCTGAGAAAGAAGAAATGGAGTTGTTAGTGGTTTTGTTCTTTGCTAGAAGGTTATTTCTTAAAACTGGATTTTAGGCATGGTCCCAGGGTTTACGATTTGTTACATTCATTTTTCAGTTCTTGCTCAGATCCAGCTGAGAGAGAGATTTGACAGAACTAGAGAGGAATTGGCCCACTTCACCTGGAGCCATTCAGTGGGGTAGCTTTGTCAGCTTAGGGGTGAAAACTGGGAAGAGGATCCCAACAGCCCCTCCTTTCCTGCTTTTTGTTTGTTTAAGCTGCTGGTCTTTGAGTGCCAGCTGAGTTCTTTGTGTAAAGACAAGTCCATTTGATCCCCAAGTGGAGGTAATTTCCTATTCCCTCACCATGTCTTACACATAAGTAGACTTCTGGTACACATTTGAGGCTGAAGAGAAAAGGAAGCAATTTTGGGAAGTGTTAAGTTGCTGGGAGGAACACAGGTATTTGTGTCTTTCTTCGAAAATAAGGGAACAGAACCACGGAGAGCTGGACTCCAGGCTCTGGCTTTCCAGCAAAGGGCAAGTGGGCAGCAGCTGGGGCTCAGAGGTTCAGACCTGAAGGCAGAGATTAGTGTTGACTACCTCCACACCTTGGGGCAGCACACCTCTATGTGTGCCCTGTGTTCTTCCCCTGTGTGTAAGCCTTGGGATCTCCAGGGTTTCTTGGGTTCTCTGACAGGTGAAAAACCTAGATTTTCTCAGCTTCTTGCCCTGCTCTGGAGAAGGAATAAAATGCCGGTGTGCCCAACTCAAAAAAGTCGGGGTGGGGGACACAGAACTCAGATAACCTCTAGTGCATTTTAATAATTGTTTGAGATGATGAGTCCATGACTGAGAACAGCAACATTGAACCTAAGTGCCTGGAGTGACTTCTAATTGCAGCTTAATCCGACATGAAGAAAAAGAGCACCCCTGGCTTTCCAATGAGAGCCAGATGGGGAACAGGGATGGGATTTCCACCCAAACTTTGCTTTGCTAAGCAGTGTACTCCTGTGTAAACAATGCGCGGGGCTCATGGAAAGTTGAGGATGCAGCATTGTTATAGTGCTGGGGGGAAAAAAAACCCTGAACTCCCCAGGTTAGAGACAGAAAACCCACATCCTTTTTCTCCTCACCTCATTGTTTTCTCCCAACTGTATGCTCCCCATTTTTCATCTGTCTACCATTTTTTGTAAGGGTTAGAAGAGGAACAAGAACATGAACATTTTGACCTATAGACTATGGATTTAGAATGGAGAAGGATTCTCCAGGTAAATCCACACAAATCCTTGTCATTGGATTTATTTCTAGATCCATTTTCAAATTTCTCTCTCCTGGACAAAAATTCTTTAAAAGGCTAGAGGCAGTATTGATTGTTTTGGGAAATGTTTTTGTCTCTTTTTCAGACTTTTCCCCAAAAACCTAGTAAAAGGAATAATTTGTCCCTAGTTTGTTTGACCAGTATACTATGTAGCTTTGGAGCATGAGGTAACTCTGCAGGCCTATGGACACACCTGTGTCAAAGCTTTACCGAAAGTCCTTTTGGAGCTGGGCTGTGGGGCTTGCAGATGGCCTGGAATGGCAGTGAGGGTAAGAGGAAGCACTGAGTGACATGTTTACTTCCCTGCATACTTTAGTTTCCCTAACGAGGTAACTAGGGAATGATCTGGATAGGAGAGGGAACTGGTGCTACACCTTACATCTATCCCTTTCACCACTACCCAAGGAATCTTTCCTCTACATACCTTTTTGTCCTTGCCTAGGGAAGTCCCCTAACTCCACCCAAGCTGGATATGCCTTTCTTGCTGATGCATTGTGGACAGAAGTGGGAAATATGCCTTACGACTGCCCCCCACCCCATTAAGCTATGTGTCCACTAAATGATCAGGGCTGTACAGTTCTCTCTCTGTCCCCTGTAGTAGATTCTGATGTTTGGCTCTTTCTTCCTCCAGGAAAATCCAGAGCTCCCACATTGTTCTAGACAAGAAGAAACAGCAGCCAGGGGGAACTGCAGCAGCCCAATGAAACCAGCAAAAGTAAAGGGGGAAGGGCATCAAGGCAACATCAAAGATAAGAAAGGAGAAGAGGAGAAGGGGGATGCTGCCTCCATCAAGACTGGAAAATGCCAGGAAAAGAAAAGGAAACATTGTCAAGTTGAACCCCAAGACCAAGAGGTGTCTAATAAAGCCTCTAAGCCAGGTATCGACTCTACCCAGGGAGAAAGGGGCTTAGAGGAGATGCCTGGGCTCCCCAATATATGCAAGTTACTTGCCCTCCATATGAGGGCTCCTCAGGCTCTGGTTGTGTGTCCCAGCTCTGGTACTTAGCTGTGCCACCTCAGAGTGACTGCTGTGAGAACATGCACAGTTCCCAGTGTACTGCCAGTGCTCAATAACAATTATAATGGAAAGCCAAGGCATAAGGTCAAACACAGTGTCAGTCTCAAGTAATGACATCAGATGCCCCTGATGGTGTCACTTCCTGTCAGACCAACTTCTCCCTATTCCCATCCCTGTTCCAGGAATGGAAGACCAGGGCCTCGTAATCAGGCCACACTCTGCTCATTCCTAGTTGTGTTCCTGTAGGTAGGCATCTGAGAAGCAGCAGCTGCAGCTTGATATCTTTCCAAGAGTGGTAGGCAGTGCCAAGATCCAGTATCAGCTCTGAGGGCCTGGCTCAGTCCATGGAGTTGCTGCTACTGCGTGAGGTGCCTGTTGCATTTAAAGGAAGTCCTCAAGGCTCCTGGATATTCCTTGACTTGCGCTTCTCTTTCTATGGGGCTGCTGGACACCTTGAGAGCCTACTTCAGGGTACTCCATTCTCATTGGATCAGGTGACCACTAAATCAGCTCTCTGGGAAGTGGGTGAGAGTGGCAAACTGAAAAAGTAATTGGGTTCTTTTTGCCTCAGAAGTACTGTCTGTGGAACCAAGGTTGGTCTATCTCTGACTTAACTGCTTTCTAAATCACAGATCCTCCCGCTGATCTGGGGGCCAAAACTGCTCTCAGTGTTCCCCTCGCATCTTTTGACGCATCTGACCTTGAATGCTCCCTATGTATGAGGTATGTGATGTGTGCTGTCACTTACTGCCTGAAGGGGTCTTCCTCTCTGGTGCGTAGATCTTTCTGCTGGTGATTTACTGCTTGGTTGGTTAGCATGTAAAAGCATGTTTCTAATGAAATGCAAATCATTTTGATTGTCACATGAGCTAACTTGTGTCCCCTGTTTGTAGATTGCATTCCCTGTACTCCTGACTTGGAAATATCTAGAGAGTGGGAAGGAAATGATCTACTTAGAAGTCACAACCTGATGGCCCACAGGAATAATGTCTTGTGTTTGGCCTTCATGGGATTTTCGTTGTTAAATGTGAATGTCTTGAGATGGGACATGCATTCTCCATTTGGTCATGGTCCTTGTCCTCCTCCCCACTGCTTTACACTAGCCTGTGTCACACATTTGCATTACTTTCCTTGCCCTTGTAGGTACATATAGGTTTATGTCCCTGAAACTAATTCAACCACTGGATCAAGATCTCAAAGCTCAAGCGCTAACGTCAATACCACAGGCCTATTATTTGGAAGCCAAGTAGAGAGCCTGGGTAGTTTTGTTTTGTGCCATGAACAGAATTAGTATTGGGCCTTTAATACCTGGCCAAGTATCTCTCCTTCATTCAGTGCCACATCATCTTTATTTTCTCAAACTGCTGGAGAGGCAAATTATCCACAAATTATCCCCACTGTCACATACACGAAAAAGGAAACTGCTACAATCATGGCTTGTGTAAAAAAAATTACTTTCATTTGTTTCATGTCACAGCTATGACTTTATGGCTAAGAGGAGGAACTCCAAATGGCCTGGGTTTGAAACCGGGCTCTGCCACTTACTGGCTGTTTGACCTGAAGCAAGTGACTTTCTCTGCCGCTGTTTTCTCATCAGTAAAACAGAAAACAGTGGTCTCTACCCTATGGGGTGGTTATAATTAATCAAGAAAATTTACTTACAACTCTTAGAATCATGCCTGACATATAGTAAATACTCAATAAATATTAACTGTTTTTTTTTCTTCTAGACCAGAGATTCTATGGACTTGAGGTCCATGGACTCCTGAGGAGGTTCTGTGTATAGAATCTAATAGATCTATGAATTCCCTGTTGTTGTATGTGAAAGTGTGTGTGCGTGTGTGTGCGTGTGTGTGTGTGTGTGTGTGTGTGTCCAGGACAAAGCCTGCAGCTTTCAGTTGATTCTCAAATGTGTCTTTTCTTCCAAAAGAGTATTAAAAGGAGGCTGAGATATTTCTACAAAAGTTGTTAAGATGGTTGACCCAAGAGAAGAGATGTCAAGAAAAATCTTTTGGTCCACCACACAATGGGATCCAGCCAGCAGAGGCTCCTCAGATGTTTTTCATATCAAGCACATGCATTTGTATTCAGAATGACTTTTCTTGTCATCTGAATAAAAATGAGTAAGGCAGACATTACCTGAACGTGTAGTTTTTCCTTCTCTTAAGAAATTAGAGTTTTCAAATCTGCTCATAAGCTTGGGGAGACCTGATAACAAACAGTTCAACAGAAGAAATGTGGAAGTACTTAAGGAAAGCTTTCCATGTACTGTTGGGAGTTTGCTTCCTTTTACCACCTCCCTCTCCTCCACAATAAAGTAGAAAGCGGGTCATGCCAGAGCCAAGATATAAGATAGAGAAACTGCTTCCCAGCAGAGGAATGAGCCTCCGCAGGTAACACCATGGTGTCTCTAAGCCTGTGATATGAGCTGTGGTCTTTCGGAGGTCAGACTTTGAGAGATTTGATTCAGCTTACTCAGAAAGCTCAGCTCCTTGGTATACTTATCACTCCTCTGGATATCCAGGGGATGCATAATCAAACACACAGACTCATCCTGTTTGTGTTTTCCCTGAGGACTAAGAATCCTGAGGTCGAAGTTCTTTTGTTTCCTTTCCTCTGCTTTCTCCCTTTCATCTTATTTGTCCCTGATCTCAACAGGGGGCTCCAGAGAGAGGTTAGAAATTTGGTCCAAGAAGTAACAACAAAAGAATAAGACCCTTTTTCGTTTGCTTGCTCTGACTTTAAAAGCCATTATTTCCCTTATCCTGCCCCTGTGTTCTAAGTGAGACTTCAAAACAAAAAGTCATCTTTGCCTGGAGTAGCTGTTGTATAGACCGGAAAGTTATAGGGGTACTCCAGCTGCTTTATGGCGAAAAGAAACTTGCCAAGCCCAGAGGGCATTTCTGATCTCAAGTCTCTTAAAACTGTAGCCCTTGGTCAGAAACATGTAGTTTCCTTTCCAACAAGGTTTGTCTCTAAGTCAAAAATGAGATGTTGACAGGGGCTATTTCATATACATGCTTTAGCTTGAATTATTGCAGAAAAGTTCCTGTTTTCACTTCTCTTTAGTGTTTTTCTTTTTTTATTGTTGTTAGTATTATTATTAGGTTCTGTTATGACCCTCATGTGTCTTTCGGGGCGAGGATCTAAGGATAGAGATATTTTAAAACAATCTGGCGGTCGTAAACTAGACATTTGTACCTCCCATGAAAGCTTCTGGAATGAACTCCATTCCTGTGGTGCTGCATTGGTAGAATACAAGTTAGAATGTGAATTTATCTATTCTGATTCTTGGGAGAAAATCAGGAGCAGCTTATAAATTCCACAATGAAAGAGTGGCAAGAGTGAATGGAACAATAATTGGTGGGTGCATTCATGAGGAACTTTCCAGTCTCCAAGTCTCCCTTGCTGGACTGGGAGAGCTCTGCTGAGGGAGGTTTCTTCCTAATTCCAACACCTCAGAATTGTGCCCCTCAATCTTTAGTAAATGGAAATCTTCCTTTGAGATTTACCTGATATGGATATCCTAGCCATTGGAGGCCACCTCTGAGACTGCTGTGGAGCAGCACCTTTTTGAGGATATTTTGAGACGTGGAGCAAGAATGTTTGATATTTGAACCAGTTACCTAATGGCCCAGTGACCTCTTTGTCAACTGAAACAAAAAACTTTGTATTCAACCTAGGTGTAGCTACTCAACTCCCTGGGTGTTTGAGAGTCAGTCTATTCCATTCTATTCTATTCTAGTCTAGTCTAGTCTAGTCTATTCTCCTTCCCTCTGACTATCTCCCCCGTCTTCCCTCTCTCCTTCTCATTCCCTCTTTGCTCTCATTTGATAGTGGCAAAAGAACACAATACAAGGATGTGACTGGTGGGAAAAGATAGCTATTTTCAGACATGCCAAACATTGTATCCAGGCTGATATTTAACCGAACACATTTGTTATTACTATCGTTTAATCTCTCACTGGACAATGTAAAATACTTTCTTGTGAAAATATCTCGCCCTATAAATGCCTCCCTGAAGTGTTTTCTGAAGTTATTACCTGAAGTGATAGATAAAATGGAGAGGAATTAGAGTATACATCTATTTCTTGCTCTATGTACAGTGAGTTCTCTCACTCTCACTCTTTCTCTCCCCCCCACTCCTAGTTCTCTCTCCCCCATGCATGAAGCGGTGAAGGAAGGAGACAAAGGAGGGGGGAGAAAATGTGTATATGAATGTGTGCTTCTACACGTAGATAGATGATGTCTTTTCTAGATATAGATGTACACACAGTCCTGGCTGTGTCATCGAGTACAGAAGGAAGATGGGCTTGGGAATCAGATGTGACTTCACATCCAAGCCCTGCTACTTACTTGCTAGCTGTGTGACCTGATACAAGTTATTTAACCTGTCTGGGTCTTAATTTCCTCAGTAGCAAAGTGGAGCTAATCATAATTACCACCTATCAATATGTAAAGGTAATTTATATGTAAGGCAATATTACACACACCCAGAATAGCAAGAGAAATATTTGTTCCTAGTCACTTTACTCAGTCAGCCTTTATAGAGTAGCATAGTAGCACTGAATATAGAAGTGAATTAAGTATTTATTGAAAAGCAATATATTCTAAGGATTTGAACTTTAAATTTTCCAAAGCAATAATTATGCAGCATCTGTGCCAGCATCCTTGTTCGTGACCACTCAGATCAGGGGCATTTTAATCATTCCTCTTGCAAAGAGTTGCTGTATCCTTTTGTGTCTGTTTCACTCATCTGCTCATTAAATGTCAATATTTGTTGCAATTAATTAACCAGCTATATCATTGGCTTTATGTGGATTACATTGTTAAATGAACTAGTTTTACAGGAAAAAGTTTTACAGATACGGATTTATCAATCGTCGTTATCTTTAACATCATCGAACAGTGTATAAAAAGCATTTCAGATTCATAGGACACAGATTACTGAGGAAGAGAGATATTCTAGTTGATTGCTCTAGTAGTTAGATCATAGAGCCATGGTTCCCAAATCAACCTGCAAATCACACTTTTGGAAAGCATTTTAAATTGTGAAATATACACAGTGGAAAAGTGCATAAAATATAAATGTATTCTCTTAACGAAATATTGTAAAGAAGATACTCATGCACCCCTCTCAGTTCAAGAAATAAAACAGTGCCAGGACCCCAGAAGCTGCCCATGTCACTTTCAAATCACGACTCCCTTACCCTCCTCTTGAAACCACTATCTTGTCTTTTATCTCTTCTTTTTAAAATTAAATTTATTGGGGTGACATTGGTTAATAAGATTATTTAAGTTTTAAGTGTACAATTCTATAATATATCATGTGTATATTGCATTGTGTGCTCACCACCCAGTCTAGTCTCCTTCTATCACCATATATTTGACCTCCTTTACCCTCTTCGTTCCCCCTTTTCTTTTTTAAAATAGTTTTACCACCTATGTATGCATCTCCAAACAGTGAATTTAGTTTTGCCTATTAAAAAAAACTTTATGTAAATTAAATTGTTCATTAACATCCATTCTTAGTTTCTTTTCCACAGTATTAAGATTTATCCATGTTATTATATGTAGGTAGTTTTTGTTCATTTTCATTAGTGTATAGTGTCCCACTGTATGAATCTACCACAATTTACTTATCAGTTCCATTGTAGATAAATATTTGGGTTGTTTCTAGTTTTGAGCTATTCCGGACAACATTGCTATGATCAGGTTTTTTTAAATTTTATTTTTTAAATTTTATATTAGTTTCAGATATACAGTAGAATGGCTAGCCATTTATATAATTTATGAAGTGATCCCCCCGATTACTCTAGCACCCATTTGGCACTACACATAGCCACTACAATAATATTGACTATATTCCCTAAGCTGTACTCTACATCCTTGTGACTGTTTTGTAACTACTAATTTGTGCTTCTTCATCCCTTCACCTTTTTTATCCAGTCCCCCAAAACCCCTCCCCTCTGGCAATCACCAGTTTGTTCTCTGTATCTGTGAGTCTGTTTTCATTTAGTTTATTCATTTCTTTTCTTCCTTATATTAGGGGTCCCCAACCCCCAGGCTGTGGACCAGTACTGGTCCATTGCCTGTTAGGAACTGGGCCGCACAGCAGGAGGTGAGTGGTGGGCGCGGGAGCAAAGCTTCATCTGTATTTGCAGCCACTCCCTAGCGCTAGCATCACCACCTCAGCTCTACCTCAGATCATCAGGCATTAGATTTTCATAGGGGCACCAGTCCCTGGTGCAAAAAAGCTTGGACACCACTGTTAGATTCCACATTTAAGTGAAATTGTATGGTACTGATCTTTCTCTGCCTGACTTATTTCACTCAGCACAATACCCTCTAGGTCTATCCATGTCGTTGCAAATGCTAAGATTTCACATTTTTATGGATGAGTAATATTCCATTATACATAGGTTGCTTCCATATCTTGGCTATTATGAATAGTGCTGCGGTGCATAGATCTTTACAAACTAGTGTTTTGGTTTTCTTTGGATAAACATCCAGAAATTAAATTGCTGGGTCAAAGGGTAGTTCTTTTTTTTTTTCTTTTGAGGAATTTCCAAACTGTTTTCCATAGTGGCTGTACCAGTTTACAATCCCATCAATAGTGTGTGAGGTTTCCCTTTTCTCCACATCCTCGCCAACACTTGTTGGTTTTTGGTTTATTGATGATAGCCGGACAGGTGTGAAGTGATATCTCATTGTGGTTTTAATTTGCATTTCTCTGATGATTAGTGATCTTGAGTATCTTTTTATATGTCTATTTTATATGACCATTTGTATTTCCTCTTGAGAAATACCTATTCAGGTCTTCTGCTCATTTTTTAATTGGATTGTTTGTTTTTTGTTGTTGTTGAGTTGTATGAATTCTTTATTGTAACCAGTTTTATGTATGCTGGTGCATATAAGTCTTTGCCCATTTTTGATTGGGTTATCTCTTCCTGACTTGAAGGAACTTTATGTATTTGTTAGTCACGTGTGCGGCAAACACCCTCTTCTATTCTGTGGCTTGCCTTTTTGCTCTCTTAATGACACCTTTGATGAACTTACAAATTCTTAATTTTAATGAAGTACAAATTACCAGTTTTTTCATTTATAGTTAGTGTTTCTTTTGTGTGTCTTATAAGAATATTTTTTAACCTTGAGGTCATAAAGATATTCTATTTTCTAAAGCTTTACTGTTTGCTTTTCACACTTATTTTTACCACACACATGGAACTGACTTTTGTGTATGGTGTGAGAGATGGTTTAACTATTTTCACCTATGGAAAGCTATCCCAAATAGCATTTATTGTGAATGCTGTTTATGTACTGAATATCCCCCTTCTGTTTTGAAGTGCTACATTTATCATAAATCAAGAATCTGTGTCTGGGTCTATTTCTGGGCTTTCTATTCTGCTCCACAGATCTATGTGTCCTTGTGCTAGTCCTACACTGTTTTAATCACTACAGCTTTATGATAAGTTCTGACGTAGAAAAAGTTCTCCCACATTGTTGCTCTTCAGAAGTGTCTCAGCTCTTCCTGGCCCTCTGCCTTGCCTTATAAAGTGTAGAAATCAACTTGTCAAGTTCCACAAAAACAAACAAGTGAAATAAGCTGTTGGGATTTGTATGGGTGCTTATTTACGTCTTCTTTACTTTCTTTCAAAGGAGTGTTTATGTTTTTTTTCCAAAAGAAGTCTCTTAGAAATTTGTTTAGATTTGTTCTTGGGTACTTGATTTTTAAAAGCAATTGCAAACGTCATCTTTAAAAAAATGTATTTTCTCATGTTTGTTGCTGATAAATAGAGTAAAATCGTGTGGGGTATATTTATTTAGCATCCTTGCTAATTGTATCAATTCTTACTTTTGGGCCAATTTAATAACTAAAATTTATTAATTCTGTTAAATTAACTACTTTCAAAATAGGATTATAACATTCAAAAAGTAGAAACAAAAGTGAATATATGAAGAGACTCTCTCCTACTCCAGACTTTCATTGGCTTGTTAAAAATATCAAATCTCTGCCGCTCCTCTTGACCTGCTGAATTGCAAACTTCATCCAGTGGAGCTTCACCATGTCTGTTTTTTTTAAAGCTCCACGGGTAACTCTGACAATTAGATTTGGAGATCAATACAGAAGATTCACCTATATAGAGATTAGTAGGATTGTGTAATATAGTGATTTTTAAGTCTGGTTGCACATTAAAACCACCTGAGGAGCTTTAAACAAACCCTGATTCCTGGCTCTTACCCTGGACCAACAGACCTGAATCGCTGGAGGTTTGCTCGCAGGCATCTGTAGTTTTTAAAAGTCCCCCAGGTGATGGGGGGTGTGGGGAGGAATAGAAGGGAGGGTTTACAAAGGGGCATGAAAAGATGTTTGGGGGTGATGGGTGTGTTTAGGATCTTAATTGTGAACATAGTTTCATAGGAGTGTACATATGTTAAAACTTACCAAATTGCATACTTTAAGTATGTGCAGTTTATTGCACATCAATTACACATCAGTAAAGCTGTTTAAAGAAAAATCTTCCCAGGTGATTCTCACACACAGCAATAGATGAGCATCATTGTTCTAATAGAAAGAGCACATGACTGAAACTGAAAGTTGGATAGCCTTTCATCTGCCAACACTTGGCTGTGTACACGAAGATAAACCACTTCATCCCCTGTGAACCTCATTTTCATTCTGGTTGGTGGGTTCAATTTTTTTCCCAAGTACTTTTCAGCTCTGACATTTCGATTCTTCTGCTCAGTCTGGCAATGTGTGCCAGGCTGCTGGTGCTCGTCCTGGTCACACAAGGGGGCTGTGCAGCTGGTGACTTCTGTCAACTAATACTTTCATGGGATCAAAATAGGTTGGTTAGCCATTTTTTCTTTTCTTTCTGTCCTCTTGGTGAGTGCGAGCCCCACTTCTGAACCATCATCTTCAGCTGCCCCCACCTAGTGTTCATACTGTGGGTGAGCCTTCCTTTAAGTAAATCCATGAATCTCTGAATGTACAGAACAGCTTTAAAAAAGACCCCCAGATTGCTTTGAAAATATCCAGCTCTTACAAAGCAATTAAAATAGGATCTCATTGAAATATGTGTACACACACACACATATGTGTGTACATATGTATATATCAGTAAGCATATTAACGATATTACTCTACCACCCCTAGGCAATTGAATGTTTGTTACAGGTGCAATTTCAAGATCCTTCAGGTAGTAAACATTGCATAGGTGAAAAATGGATTCAAGGTTAACACAGAAGCCAAGACTTCTTCCATTATAATATGATATAAAGTACTTGAATGAGTAAACTTGTGTGTGTGTGTGTGCATGTGTGTGTGTGTGTATGTGTTTATGTGCATTTACATATACTCAGGTGAACAGGTTGGCTAAATATTTTAGAGTGGAATCTATTCAGACACCCTGGGCATTCATCTCTAGACAGACTGACTAGAACTAATATTACAAAATAACTAACTATGTTCTAAATTTTAATAAATGTATTATTTTAAAATTCAGCTCAGAAATATAGAGCAAATGTTTTTCCTAAGTGCAACAACTGCAGGGATTTTTTAAAAAGAATTCCCCCCCCACACACACACACATAATTTTCCAAATAACGCTATAAAACCTTAACATAGAGTAGCTCTTTTATTTTTGGTCTTATTGCAGTTTTCTTCCATTTTGATTCTTAAATTTCAGATTATTTTATGAGCCAGTCACAACACCTTGCGGGCATACATTTTGCTTAAAATGCCTTGAAAGATGCCTAGATCACAACGCGAAGTGTCCACTGTGCAAAGATGGCCTTTCACAGGTAAAAACGTTTCTTTGTTGGGTTAGCTTATTTGAAATTAGGTACTAAGACAGTGTCCTATTAGATCCCAAGCCACTGCACTATGCTAGGGCAAAATATCCCCTCAGACCATCTATCTCTTTCTCCTGTCTTATGGCCACCCCTCCACTCCCCACAAAGTCCTTCAGGAAAATGAGGCAACATCTAGCTTTAAATGAACAGTTGGTAGTGAAATTAATTTGTGTTGGAAACAAAAGTATTAAATTGATAATAAACATGGATCCTGGCTGTAATCCCATCATGGCACCCGATCCACTGTAATCTGGGTGAATCTTGTATCTTCTCTCGGCTTGGACTAGATGAGCTCTGATGTCCCCTTTTCATCAATGTTTATTCTGTTGTTTGAAGAGATCACTCCCAGTGCTCCAGATAAACCTCACCAACCTTCAGTGTGGTCCTTGTCACACCCCTCAGGAGCCTCTGGCTACTTGAAAATCTCTGGGGCTTCCAAGTTCTTTAAAATGAGTCACACAAATTGCCACCTTAGTTTTTCAAGTGGACCTGATGAAATTTTCTTTAGCACAAGAAGACTTACAAATCCATCTTATTTTCCCTCCCTCAGGGACTGTGTGCCACATTATATAATCAGTATTAATGTTGCTTGACCCCTCTCATCCCCAAGGAGAGATTGGAGACACAACACTATCTCTAGGTGAATGAAGGTCCAGAGAAATCACATGTTGAGCTTTCCCAACACCCCGACATTTATTCTAAAGGAATGGAGTGAAATAATTATCAAAGATAACCCTGAGAGTGTGTATTTGGTTGTGGGGAGGGTCAGTATCGTACCTTGTCTAGGTAAAGGGGTGAGATTTGCTGGCCTGATTGTAGGTGAGAAGAAGTCCATGGTCCTTATACTTAAATAATGCATTTGTGTTGTCATAACACTACAACATTCAGATAAGCAGAAAGAAGAAAAATCTACCCACATGCTCATCACCTGGAGAAAATCACCGTTAACAGTTTAGTGTGCCTTTTCTGGGTTTTTGTTTTAGCATCAGCAGAGGAGTCATCTCCTTATTTGACTGGCCACCTCCTGAGTCGTTGCTTTTCCCCAAAACTCAGACTGGACGAACAGTTGGTTCTCCTGCAGCTAGGAGATGGCAGTGGCCAATAAGGCATCCTAGAGCCAGATTCTGTGGGGTCCTGGAGTCAGGGGCTAGAAAACAGTCTCATCTATCTATTTGTATTCACGCAGGTTCACACTTGCACAATTTCCCAGAGAGATAAATATCTTACACCAATCATGTTCACTGGAGAATAGACAGACATAGACCGTACTGGAAAAGGAAAAATTGTCTGAAACCCACAGTTTTATACTCAGGAGCTCCCCCTGCTGGGCCTATGTGGGTTTTCACTCCCATTGTCTGGTCCACACAGTTAAATGCCCCCTACTTACAGATCCCTGGATATTTGCATTGGGTAGGGGTGTTTGGGAGAAGAGTAATAGTGACAGGTAAGCCTGAGTTTGGTTCTGAAATCATGGTTTATAACATAATTTCGGTGACACCTAGACGATATATTAAAAAAAAAAATCGAATAGACAAAATCACCAGTATTCACCTGTGTGTGTTTTTTCAATTAAAGATAGAGAAGAAAAACATATTTAGAATTGTAATATCCAGAAGCCAAGCATTAGGATGGGATGGGATGGAGCTGGGCAGGAAAGGATCAATGACTGAAAATTACTTTTTAGTTCCCTGAACCTTTAGTTCCCTACATCCCAGATGTAGACCATTTCTGTGAGCTTGTAAACAAAAATAATCAGAAAAAGGAAATGGAAGAATTTTACCTCTTTTTTGATAATAACATGGGATAGATTTCAGTGTTTTAGGATAGCGATGAGATTTTTAAAACATCAATGCAGGTCTTTTTCCCTCTGTTAAAATATTTTTCCTAATTATAAGAGTAATCAGTTGCAAATGTTTTTATTTTAAAGTCTGACATCCAGAGACTACATACATTATGATAGTATCAACTGCTAATATGTGGGTCCAAATTACTCCAATATGTGGGCCATTTGACTATTCTACTGATTGCATTAGAAGTGCTTTGTGTTTTTCTGATGACCATGTAATATCTAATTGCCTCATTCCCCATATAGTGCTTGGCATCAAGAAAATACAGCAAAAACATCATAATGGAAGAGCTAATAGCTAAATTCCTTCCAGAAGAACTCAAGGAAAGAAAGAAACTTTATGAAGAGGAAATGGAAGAACTTTCCAAGTATGTATATGCATATTTCTAGTTTCAGTTTCACTCATATTAGCTCATAGAGATGAATGTGCACATTTCTTCCTAACTACTCATTCAGTGATTTCATGTTGGTGGCTTGAAATTGGCCATGGTGAGAGTATTTACACTATAGAAATTGGCAAATACTATAAACCAGGGCTTTTCCCCCAGAAAGCCAGTTGTTCAACATTTACCAGCACACCACTGAAGCCAAACCACTGACTAAGTCACATCTTGGCACTAGGAACTAGGTGTCACTAGCAAGAGTAAATTGGAGTAGCTTGATCAGGGGAAACTTATGAAGTATCCAGAAGACTGTTTTCAAATATATAAGGAGGTGCTATGAGATTAAGAACTTTGTTGTCAGCCAGACCTGGGCTTAATGACCCAGTGTTGTCACAAAGTGAGTATGACCCTAGTCACCTAGTCACTTCACCTCTCTGGGCCTTAGTTTCTTCATCAGTAGCTTTAGGATAATAATAGTTCCTACTTCATAGACTTCTTATTAAGATCAAATGAGCTGGTGCATAGTAAGCACTTAATAAATGGTAACAATAAGCATGCTGCTTGTTATATGCTTCCTCCACTGTGCATAGGTATTGTGAGAGGTGAAGGGTAGGAATGGGCATGGAAGTTGGGCTCCGCACTTTCAGCCTGCCTGGAAGAACAGTTCACTTAGTGGACAAAGCAGGAGGCAATCACCAATTTCTGCCTCTCATACTGCTGCCCTCCTGTCTCTCCAACCCCAGTGGAATCCTCACAGTATTCTGAGGTCAAGGTTTTATGCCCACCCTGTAGAGAACCATTTCTTATTCTGGTTTTATGCCCACCCTGTAGAGAACCATTTCTAAACTGCCATCAATTTGTCTGAATTGCCTCTCACTTTGAACAACATGTTTTCCTGGGAAGCTAGAAATGAAATCTATTTTTTCTCATTGATTTGTATTTGATCTGCTCAGAGCATGTTTATCTTTATTTTTGATTCCTAAGTTCACCTTGAGTCTCTGAGCCTCCTCTCAAATATCATTTAATGTCTTATTTAAAAACTCTGGAATATACTGGAGGGATTTCTATTTAAAGGAATCCTAGACTTAATCCTTTTGAGATTTAGGCAAATGGTCTCATATCCATTGGTAGGTTTAGATTCAACTGTTCTTGTATTGGATTTACTAGACAAATAAAAAAACAGGGATCCAGGAGGAGCTGGCCCAGTTGGTGGTTCTCCCTCAGGCTGTGTGTCTGAATCTTCACAGGTACTTGTTGAAGGGCAGACTCCTGGGTCCCGATTCCAGAGCCAGTGCACCAGTGTCTCTGGGATGCTACAGCCCAGTTGTCTGGATTTAAATGCCTCTGGTGATTATGATGCGCAGACGTATTTGAGCATCACTGAGCTAGATTACTCTTGCCTCTCCATTGCTCCTTCCTCTTCCCAGTTGGGCCTGCCATGCAGATCTTCTAGTGGATTTGCAAATTTGAGATACTCGCAGTGACTTTGCAGAGAATTTCCCACCATCCCTCGGGAGAGCTGAGTCCACTTATAACTACCAGTACCATTCTCCATACTGACAGCAAGACACCTGGAAAGATTGTTTGAGTAGAGAGGATGAAAGAAAGAAGAAATATGAAGTATCACCGTCACCCACCATGTTGACATACTAGAGAACTTCTTTAGCCAACTTAGATTATGTAGAATGTCAGTTTTCACCTCTAAGCCCTTACGCTAACCAGATAATGGGACTCAGCGCATAGCATTAGTTGCATTTCAGTATTTTTTATCAGCCATCAAAAGCTGATGTCTCCTTCCCCTACAGGGGAAGCACATGGTGACATTTGACCAACCTTTCTGTGTTGTGCAACATTACATTGAGATCCATGTCATTTGCTCTTCCTGACAGCTTGAATAAGAACGTGCCTATTTTCGTGTGTACTATGGCCTATCCCACTGTTCCTTGTCCCCTGCACATCTTTGAGCCTTGTTACCGTTTGATGATTCGTAGATGCATTGAGACAGGCACAAGACAGTTTGGCATGTGCCTTGGAGATCCTGTCAAAGGGTAAGTGAGTTGCTATGTGAGTCAAGGGGAGTTGGGTGGAGAGGGTTTTTGTTTTACCTTGGGGGCCTACCAGGAGACGGGGAGGCACAGCTCATGATACTTAGCCAGCTTACTACCATGAGCATTTGTAAGAATCAGGGTCCCTCTGGTCCCAAGTTTGTCATGTGAGTGGCTGCCTATTTAAATTAATCTTTTGGATTAAATCTTTTGTTAAACAGGTGGTATATAATATAAAACTTGTTTTATAAGAGTGCGGGCCCTGGAATCAAACTGCCTGCATTCATATTCTGGCTCCAGCCTTGGAGAAAATTTGACTTTGGGCAAGTTACTTAACCTTTCTGTCTCAGTTTCCTTATCTGTAAAGTGGGTACGGTAAGAATGCCTACCTTATTGGGTTTGTTGGGAGGATTGGTGAGTTACACACAAAGCACTGAGCACAGTACCTAGCACATAATATTGCTAAATAAATGGTAGCAGTTGTACTAATACATTAAGATTATTTTTTTCACATGGGCACTGCCTATTGTGTAGTTGTAGCTATAGACTCTGGGGCAGGCAAATAGGCAGAAGTCTCTCGAGGCACAGCATGAGGTTACAGAAATGTCTGGGGACAAGGCCGGGGAAACGACTCATTAAGAATTTACTTTCTTGACTCCATTTCTAACAAACAGGTTTGCAGAATATGGCTGCATCCTAGAGATCAGAAATGTTCAATTCTTTGCTGATGGCCGCTCAGTGGTTGACAGCATAGGCAAGAGGCGCTTCAAGGTCCTCCATCAAGGCCAGAGGGATGGTTACAACACAGCTGACATTGAATACATTGAAGACCAAAAGGTGAGGGTGGCCAGTACCAAGAATCCCAAAGACAGGCTATACTTGTGGCTTGGCAGATATAGATGGTTGCAAAAGAATTTCTCAGCACTTTTGGGGCCTTGAGATTTCTCATCAAATTGGTGCAGCAACATTGAATGCTGCCTCATTGCTACTGGATTGTAGAATGACAGTAAGAATTCCCATTGTCCTGCCTCTCCCTGCTTAGTTGTTGAGTTATAGTCATTCATAAGAAGTGCCAAGCCAGACCAACCCTTGAATGCCCATTCAGTTAGGAGTTAGATATCTGCCAGGAGTACCCAGGGATAGATCTAGAGTGGGGTCTACACATAGATATTGTATTTTTCAATTTGTTTAGATTTTAAAACTTTTGAGATAATTGTAGATTCACATATGCATTTATATTTTTAAATGGGCAACCTGGCTAAGAGCCCTTCCCAATAATTCATCATCCCATGAGGCGGAAAGATAACATGTCCAGTTAATCCTTGGTTTTCTGGACTAATGGACAGAAAAATAGGTAAATAATAATCCCATGTTCACTAATACTTATGTTCACTACATAGTATATGATTAATAAGTATTTGATCAACAAAAAATATATTCAACTTGGAAGATAGAGTTACACACTGAGGCACAAACACATTTGTGTCTCTCTTCCCAGTGAACAATGAGAAAGTAGATGTAAATAATGAAAAAGAGAGAGACATTAACCAGCATAATCTAGTTTAACAGCATGCCTGCACTCAGGCTAGTTTTCATTTCTGGTTTTCTATATGTCTTACTGTTTCAGCTAATTTACCCTGCTGAATCTTTCTCCTCCCTCCGCCCTCAGCAGTATTTATGCACAGTCCATCATCTGGCTGAGGAACCTTTCACATACCACACAAGAGAAAGCTGGGCGGGTGAGCCTTCCCATAGGGAGACAGGATGGATGCTCACAGAGAGTCAGGTGCCAACAGTGACTCTAGAAGTGATGGAGAAGGTACAGAATGCTTCACTTCCACTTTGATACTTTCAGGTTCAAGGAGAAGATTGTGCTGAGCTCATGGGATTACATAACTGTGTCTATGAGCAAGCATCATCATGGTTCCATTCACTCAAATCATCTTTGAAGAATCGGATACTCAATCACTTTGGCCCAATGCCAGAGAAAGATGTGGATCCTCAGGTATATAAAAAATGTCTCTTCTTAACTGGTTGCCCCCAGCACATAAGTGGAGCCTAGGGTTTGTGATTAGAAGGCGCATGGTTGCCATCTAGCAAATCAAGTGCAGAGAGCAAGATGGATCTAATCTGGTATTGTTTGGCTGGGCAGTGGGCATCAAAGGTAAGACCAAAAGGATCTCAGGTCAGAATTGGGGAAATTAAAGTACAGCAGTAGGAACTTGGATCCAAGACAAGTTTTGAGAGATAAGTCAGGTGAGCGATGGAAACACAGACACCATCAACTGGAGGACCTTCTGTGGGAGTTCATAGTCACACCATGGTAATGTGTTGCAGTGAAAAGAGTTACACAAAGACCAGGCCTAACAGGATAGTATTGTGGGAGCTGAGACCAAAGGCTGCCACTTCCAGGAGGCTTCATAAGCCTCTCTCCCATTGCTGCAGAAGCTAGGAGATAGGGCCAGCTACCTTAAAAGATTCCAACTGCATGATCACAGACATTTTTCACACCTGAGTCTTTCCATGCTTAGCCCTGCAGGTCTAGATCCTTGCTATTGTCCTCATCAGGGGTGAGTAGGTCCTGAGAAAACTGACCCAGTAGTTAAATTTACCATTTGGTTGAGTTATACTAGAAAGCAGTTCATTGGGTTCTATTGGGTCAGTCTATTTCCTG